GGCACCTGTTCTAAAGAAAGATATCATGGCACTAGAAAAAGTGCATAGACGAGCTACAAAATTGATAAAAGGAATGGAGCATTTTAGTTACGAAGAAAGGTTAAAAAATTTAAATCTGTTTAGTTTGGAAAAAGAGGGGGATATGATAACATTATACAAATAATTTTGGGGCCAGTACAAACCTTTATCTGGAAATCTATTCATAAACAGGGCTATACATAGGACACAAGGTCACACATTTAGGCTGGAAGAAAGGAGATTTTATCTAAGGCAAAGAAAAGGTTTTTTTTTACAGTAAGAGCAATAAGGATATGGAATTCTCTGCCTGAAGAGGTGGTTTTGTCGGAGTCTATTCAGATGTTTAAACTGCAATTGGATAAATACTTGCAAAAACATAACATACAGGGATATAATTTCTAATTAGTGGGGTAATAGCTACTTGGTCCAAGGAGACATTTTGGGGTCAAGAAGGATTTTTTCCTAGTTTGCAAAATTGGAAGCGCTTCAGACTAGGTTTTTTGCCTTCTTTTGGATCAACAGCAAAAACATTTGTGAGGAAGGCTGAACTTGATGAAGTCTCTTTTCAGCTATGTAACTGTGTAACTATGTAACATGCCACAGAGCACTAATTGGAGGTGAGGTAGAGGAAGTGTGGAGCCATAAATCAACACTGAGATCTAGGGGGAGACTATTTTCACAGGGCTTGAGAGACTTCCTGCTTCTGACTTGCACATACATGGCGGCAGCCTGGAACTCTACATCGGATCGGAGGCTAGCCACAGCCCAGTCAAACTTTGCACAATGATTAAGAATAAAACTAATGAGGTCAGATGGCTCCCCAGAAAAAGGGAGTCGCTGTACCCCACCGGAATTACCTCTAGATTAAAAAGTCATCTTATAGGTAATAAACTTTAATATAAATTGGCATACAAAATAGGTGCAACAAAAAGTGAAAAGTGATATTCACTATCAATTAAAAAGGAGAGGAAACCTACATAGCTCAGTGTCAATTGTAGTAAAAAATAGAAACAGTGTGAGCTACTAAAATGAAATTTAAACTATATCCCAGATTGGTATGTATCAAAAACATCAAAGTATCAAATTCAAGTGAATGGGATATAGTATTAGAAGGGAGAAGCACTACAGATTTAAATCAATCCACCTCTACGGTAGCCACAAACAGCCACAGGTCTACAAAGAAATTCTGTTGGGAAGTACTCAAACTCCCAGGGGTTAAATTGAGTAAGTGGATGTAATTAAAAGACTCTTGTTTATGTAGGAAAATCCTGTGGCTATAATTAGTTGCAAAGCTGGAAAAGATAAAGAGAAAAAAAAATCAACTGAAGTAAATTCCATCAATCCCCACAGTACTAAGGTTGATTCTGTGGTTTATACAGAAAAAAGGCCTGAAGATAACTCCAGACCTGATACTGGTGCTGAAGGGGTTAAGTTTAAAAATAAACTAACTAATAACCATCATGCCGAAAACGTGATGTGCTAAATTTAAAAGCAATAAACCGACGCGCGTTTCAGCCCTTAACAGTTCCATAGATTTGGGCTGTGTGGTCAGTCTATTTCAGGCTGAAAAAATGACTAAGTCCCATCGCTGAATGGGACTTAGTCTCTACAGCTGCAAAATCATTGGGGAAGTAGGTAAGGCCCAGCGGTGTTTGCGGAAATGTGCAACCGATTTTAGTTCCATGAATTTGGCTGCACACACCGCTGACCGTATTTGAATGAACACAGATGGCGCCGCCACGTGTTCGTTTGCGCGAACAGCGGCCACCCAGCATTCAGCAATTTACCTACAGCAGGCTCCCAGCCTAGGAGGTAATTTACCTGCACACCTCCACTTCTGGGTGGTCCGCCTGTGTGGTACTTGGTTCAGTAAGCCCCATTTACTGAACCAAGTGGGAAATAGCCAGGAACAAAGGGTTTTAACCAAGTCTGGGGACACTGGAGACACAGGCTTAACGGGGCAGTATCCCAAACAAGTCTGGGGACACCGTCTTAAAGGGGCAGTGTCCCAATTTTCCCTATGCCCCAAAAAGGTGCTTAATGGGCCAACACCAGTCCCATAAAAAGTCCATAAGCCCCAATATGCCCACCGACTGTCTTAAGTGGCCCTACACACCTGGTCCATAGTCATGGGGGAGGAGGCTGGCAAATAGGCTCCTCCATAATCCAGGGGAGAAGGTCAATTTGTCATTTAAAGGAACAGTTACAAAAGGCATTTTGTAACAGTAACTAGGTCTGGATATTTGCAGCATTAAGCCTTCTTTTCTGCTAAGGAATTTTGCTGAGATATCTATAAAGTTTTTTTATTGCTCTTTATCATAGCCACAAGTGATTCACTGCAGCTGAGATTTATCCTCATTCTTTGCAACATACTTTCCAGTAGCAATTAGTGTGGATACACTATTACACTGGATACACAGTTGCAATAAAAAGTATGTGAACCCTTTGGAATGATATGGATTTCAAATTGGTCATAAAATGTGATCTGATCATCATCTAAGTCTCAATCACAGTCTGCTTAAACTAATAACACACAAAAAATGAAATGTTGTCATGTTTTTATTGAACACACCAAGTAAACATTCACAGTGCAGGTGGAAAAGTATGTGAACCCTTGGATTTAATAACTGGTTGAACCTCCTTTGGCAGCAATAACTTTAACCAAACGTTTCCTGTAGTTGCAGATCAGACGTGCACAACGGTCAGGAGTAGTTCTTGACCATTCCTCTTTACAGAACTGTTTCAGTTCAGCAATATTCTTAGGATGTCTGGTGTGAATCGCTTTCTTGAGGTCATGCCACAGCATCTCAATCGGGTTGCGGTCAGGATTCTGACTGGGCCACTTCAGAAGGCGTATTTTCTTCTGTTTAAGCCATTCTGATGTTGATTTACTTCTATGCTTTTGGTCATTGCCTGTTGCAACACTCATCTTATGTTGAGCTTCAGCTGGTATACAGATGGCCTTAAGTTCTTCTGCAAAATGTCTTGATAAACTTGGGAATTCATTTTTCCTTCAATGATAGCAATCCATCCAGGCCCTGACGCAGCAAAGCAGCCCCAAACCAGCCCCAAACCATGATGCCCCACCACCATACTTTGCAGTTGGGATGAGGTTTTGATGTTGGTGTGCTGTGCCTTTTTTTTGCCACACATAGTGTTGTGTATTTCTTCCAAACAACTCAACTTTGGTTTTATCTGTCCACAGAATATCTTGCCAGTACTGCTGTGGAACATCCAGTTGCTCTTGTGCAAACTATAAAAGTGCAGTAATGTTTTGTTTGGACAGCAGTGGGTTCCTCTGTGGTATCCTCCCATGAAATCCATTCTTGTTTAGTGTTTTTAACGTATTGTAGATTCGCTAACAGGGATGTTAGCATTTGCCAGTGACTTTTCTAAGTCTTTAGCTGACACTCTAGGATTCTTCTTCACCTCACTGAGCAGTCTGTGCTGTGCTCTTGCAGTCATCTTTACAGGATGGCCACTCCTAGGGAGAGTAAAAGCAGTGCTGAACTTTCTCCATCCATAGACAATTTGTCTTACCATGGACTGATGAACAGCAAGGCTTTTGGAGATACTTTTATAACCCTTTCCAGCTTTATGCAAGTCAACAATTCTTAATCGTAGGTCTTCTGAGAGCTCTTTTGTGCGAGGCATCATTCACATCAGGCAATGCTTCTTGGGAAAGGCAAACCCAGAACTGGTGTGTGTTTTTTATAGGGCAGGGCAGCTGTAACCAACATCTCCAATCTCATCTCATTGATTGGACTCCAGTTGGCTGACATCTCACTCAAATTAGCTCTTGGAGATGTCATTAGTTTAGGGGTTCACATACTTTTTCCACCTGCACTGTGAATGTTTACATGGTGTGTTCAATAAAAACATGGCAACATTTCATTCTTTGTGTGTTATTAGTTTAAGCAGACTGTGATTGTTTATTGTTGTGACTTAGATGATGATCAGATCACATTTTATTAACAATTTGTGCAGAAATCCATATCACTCCAAAGGGTTTACATACTTTTTCTTGCAACTGTATTTGTGTCAATACAGTTTATTCATAATAGCGGTGTTTTTCTATAGAGCTCTCTATTTCCTTTTGCCACATGAGGTTTACTGTAGTTGATATACAAATTTAATCAGGATTTCTAACCCCCACCCCTATCATCCTCAGCTATATCCCATCCAGTCTACTATAGAGTTTCCCCCTACTGGTTATTATACAGAGCCTTTATTTCTATGTGGCTCTTTTTTAATGGGTTTATGTTATATGTCTCTTTCTCTAAATATCTAAATAATTGTATATATTTCTAGTTCTATATTAGTTTAATAGTTTTCAAGTAACCTTTTTTAGACATTTTTGCATTTTTCCTATTTTATCTTTTGGTTACAATCATGGACAAGGAGGATGATAACTTTTTGATCTAAGCATTATCCCTCAATTTAATTAGCAGTTCATGGATGTGTAACCTTATGGGTTACTTTATACTTTATACACACTTCTAGACAGTCAGCAGAGGGCACATCAGAGTTATCCAGTAACAATGAATAGTTTGTACACTGATTACTGCTGTCACACACCTCTTTCAGGGATTCTTGGGACCAGGTCCATAGTCTGCAGGTAATGCAAAAATGTCTAAAAAAGGTTACTTGCCTCTCCAAAAGGTCATGGCCTGAGAGCTTCTAAGAACTTGTGAGGGCTTCTGTCACCGTAATCATAGATATTGGTTTTACAAAGGCAATTGAGGCTCTCAGGCAACAGGTCCGAGGACTTTATTACTGGGATCACTGAACATCCACGCAGGACACAGGGTTCCAGTTGAAACTGACATTCAATACTTTATGTGATAGATCTTCTGTACTCCGACTGAGTACCTCCACCCAATCCACTTCCTAGCCATTAGGAAGGGAGCGAGGCTGGAACACTTCTGCCCCAGTCACTGAGACTTGACTGGGGTCTCTCTAGAGCTTTTCCACCTGACCAGACTGAAGATCTCCATCCAGGTAGGTATTGTCCCCTCTGCCTACTAAAATGAAATTTAAACTATATCCCAGATTGGTATGTACCAAAAACATCAAAGTGGTGGTTACTGGATTAAGTTACTAGGTGCTTGAACCCAAAGGCAGAGGTTAATTGACTCAAATCGCTACCGAGGAGAACCTCCGCTGGTAAGTTTTTCATCTTCGATCATACCGGCTCCTGACGCGAAAATGTCCAAATGTACTCTTGCGGTAGGCAGGCCGATAGAAAGTGATTATTTTTATGCTCCTTGATTTTAAACATGTTCATGAATAAGCTAACCCTAGACTAACAAGCTATGTTCTGTTCACTGAAGACAGGGCATTGGCTGCACATTTCTATACATTAGTCACACTCACAATCATTCACCCACCCACACACACACCCTTTGTATGGCAGTGCCTATCTTTTAGTACTTTTTTTTACCTCCCCTCTATATCCTTTAAATCACAAGAATGTGTGTCTCTCTACTCCCGCTATTTCCTTTAAGCTTCTTTAAAGACATATGTGTTAGTATCCTATTTGGTTATCCAATAAGGGGCATGTATAATGCTCATTTCATATGCTTAGGAAATAGGTATTAACAGAACGGCCATGGTATGGACTCGATCCAGCATGGGATAAGGGTTTTGACCGAATTCCTGTAATCCAACTGAGTACCTCTGCCCAGTCTGCTTCCAAGCAGCTTGCAGGAACCCTGGAATGCTTCATCCCCAGTCGCTGAAGCATGACTGAGGTCTCTTCGTGTCTCTTGCCCCCGACCAGGCTGCAGCTCTCCTTCCGTCCCCTCTGCCTACTCCTCTGTAGCTCTGCTTACAGTGTTTGCTATTGCCTTTACAAAGGATCTTAAGGCTCTAGGGCCTAGCTCACTTGATTTATTCTAGGGCTAGATGGAACATGCAGCCAGCCAACAGCTCCAAAGACTCTTTCATTGGGATTTCTGGGAAATCCACACAGTACACCAAATTCCAAATGCAACTATCATCCAATACTTTATTTTACTTGTGACTAACCCAAATGATCATTACAATTAGATTGCTGTGAAAAACATAATAAAATTAAAATAAACAAAACACGTCACAAAATATACAGGAAATTATAATAGCATAATAACATATTTATAAAGGGATAGGGAAGAGAATAACCAGCACAGATATCCTTTTTAAAATATTCATATCAGATTTTATTAATACCTTTTTCATGCATGTTACATTTTCTTATTTATGTACTTGGAGAATTAACTTTGTGAAGAGATTTTTGAGTGGTTTTGAACTTACATGAAGATGGAATGTATATGCTTTCCACTACAGTATAGAAAGACATCTGCCACATTGGGCATGTTGGTTTAATGGACGTTTTGAAACCAGAAGGATTCACAATGAGGCATGACCCGCAAATGAGGATTATCAACATCAAGTGGACAGGCTCCGTCTCGATTGGCTGTGAGGCAATTTGGGAGGAGCAAACCAGGGTTTTTAAACCCAGGACTTGGTAGAACTGTCAGACACATGCTGAATACCCCTAAAGAAGTCTATTTATAGATGAAATGCATAGGGTGAAAGAACACCATTTTCCCTTTGTTTTACTGATTGCCTTTACAACAGATTTCTGGGTCCTGGAGGTTGTATACACACTTTTTGATTATCTTTTGAGTGCATAAAATAAAGTTTTCTTTTTGGTGTTATACAGTGTTGCACTATGTGTTTTGTTTCTTCTCTCCTAACAAGCACAGAGGTTTGGAAGTAGAGAAGAAAGAAGTTCTACCGATATTTTCATATTCTGCCTACTTTAAATTTATGCTTGTGAGTGCATTTTTACACTAGCTATTTCTCTATGTATATGAATCAGATGACAACTCGGGCTAGAGTTTGCCCACTCAAACAGTCCACAACAGCCATTACATATCTCAAGGATATGTACCTCTGCAGGATATGTACCTCTGACTATATAATGTTGCCGAACCTTATTATGAGTACTAATGATACAGATTGAAAAACTGTAACCAAGAATTTATTAGATCCCAGTCAGAAAGTCTCACTCAAGGACCATATACTAAGTAGTATGGACCTTGCGGATAAGTGGAAGGCCTTTCAAGATTATTTTTTTTGTGGAGAAAATGGTGACAAGCAAAGCATGACACCAGCCCTGGCTTGCAAACAAAAGCCAGGTAAGGGTCACAGTACTTTTGCCAGAAGGTTTCGTAAGTGCTGGAGAGAGGAATGTTTCCTCCTAGTCTGCAGAATGCAGAATGGATGGCCGCTCCCCCCAAGGTATTTAAAGCTGTCTCAGTGTCCAGTAAGCCTGTGCCTAATGGCACAGCCCCAAGGGTATGTTGGTACTGTAATAATATAGTGAATTGGAAACAACTATGTCCACAATTAAGTGGACACAGCAGAGAACCACCAATTTGCTACAAATGTGGCAAGGTTGGTCAGGTAATCTGCCAGTGTCAGACCCCAAGACAGCCTAGGCCTACCCCACCCGATACTGGCTTTAACAGGGTCTCTGTACTCTGAAAATACCAGATATCATGAGAAGGCCTGAGGTTGGATTCCCTTTCTTGTGCATTGTTGCGGGCTAAACTTTTGAATTATAATGCGATACTGGAGGAATGCTGAGATTTTTATTCCTTGTGACCACAACTGTACACTCAATGTGCATTGGCTCTGAGGTTTTGGTCTCAGGTAGAGTTGAGCGGACACCTGGATGTTTGGGTCCTGCGGAACTTTGAAAACGAGTCCGGGTTCGAACTTGACCCCAAACCCCATTCAGTCAATGGGAAACCAACTTTTGGCCACAAAAATGCCTCTAAAAAACTCCTGGAAAGGGCTAGAGAGCTGCAAAAGGAAGTAAAATGGGGAGAAGAGTAGGACAAGTGCCCTGCAAACAAATGTGGATAGGGAAATAACTTAAAATAACATAAAAATTAAAAATACAACTGAGCCATAAAATAGCACTAGATGGAATATTTGAATTTAGCTTTGGAAGAACATAAATCAAAATCTAAAGCGTGGCTGTCAGGAGGATCAACAGAATTATCCATTTGAGAGAGGGTTGGAGTGCAGGGTATTCTCTTTCGTTGTTTAAACTGAGCTCAACTCCTGATGCATGGAGAAAAGGCCTTCACAAGCCTCTGCTATTGTGCACCTAGTTTATACTAAGTGACCCATTGTTTTTTTTTTTTTTTTTTTTTTTAATTGGGGTTGCCCCCAAAATATTGGGACTTATAAAAAAAGAAAACAAAGAATAAGTGCACTTGAGTATAACAATGGCTGGGTGAGGCCGGTATAAATGTCGATTCTGCGCAAGGTACAGACAAGTCTGGTGGGATCCATGCCTGGTTCATTTTAATAAATGTGAGCTTGTCCACGTTGGCTGTGGACAGGCGGCTGGGCTTGTCTGTGATAACGCCCCCTGCCGTGCTAAACACATGTTCTGACAATACACTGGCTGCAAGGCAGGCCAGCACCTCCAAGGCATAAAGGGCAAGCTCAGTACATGTTCCCAATTTAGAGACCCAGAAGTTGAATGGGGCAGACCCATCAGTCAGTACGTGTAGGCGTGTGCACACGTACTGTTCCACCATGTTGCTGAAATGCCGCCTCCTGCTAAGACGTTCCGTATCAGATGGTGGTGCTGGTTGTTGTCGCGTGCTGACAAAGCTTTTTCACATTTCGGCCATGCTAACCCTGCCTTCTGAGGTGCTAGCGGAGCCTCAGCTGCATTGGCAACCTCTTCCTCCTCCTCTGCCTTTGCCTTGTGCTTCCACTGAGCCCCTGATGTCAGTTGGGAATGCCCTCAGCAGCTTGTAGTTGCGCATCTTCCGATCACGCTCCAGTTAGGGAATTAAGGACGGCACGTTGTCCTTGTAACAGGGATCCAGCAGGGTGGCCACCCAGTAATCAGAACAAGTTAGAGTGTGGGCAACTCGGCAGTCGTTGCACAGGCACTGCAGCATGAAGTCGCTCATGTGTGCCAGGCTGCCCAGAGGCAAGGACAAGCTGTCCTCTGTGGGAGGTGTATTGTCTGTGTCCTCTGTATCCCCCCAGCCACGCTCCAGTGATGCCCACGAGCTGCGTTGGGTGCCACCCCGCTGTGAACACGGTTCCTCCTCCTCATCCTCATCATCCTTCTCCTCATCCTCCAGAACTGTGCCCTATGCTGGTGCAGGAACCCACTCTCCAAGCCACTTGTGAATGACTGGCCTGATAACCGTGGAAATGACCCCTTCTCCTCCTCCTCTTCCTCCTGTGCCACATCCTCTTCTATCATCGTCCGCAGCGTTTTTTCAAGGAGACATAGAAGCGGGATAGTAAGGCTGAGAACAGCGTCATCGGCGCTGGCCATGTTGGTGGAGTACTCAAAACAGTGCAAAATAGCACACAGGTCTCGCATGGAGCCCCACTCATTGGTGGTGAAGTGGTCCTGTTCCACAGAGCGACTGACCCATGCATGCTGCATCTGAAATTCCACTATCGCCTGCTGCTGCTTGCACGGTCTCTCCAGCATGTGCAAGGTGGAGTTTCACCTTGTGGGCGAGGCGGTGAGCGGGAAGGCCGAAGTTATGCTGCAGCACAGACAGGTGAGCAGCAGCAGACGGCCCGCACTTTTTGCAGCAGCTCTGATATATCTGGGTAGTTTTTCAGGAATTTCTGAACCACCAAATTCAGCACATGCGCCAGATAAGGCATGTGCGGCAAACCCATTATCGCACACCACCAGGCCGGGCTTGAGGCTCAGTGGCAGCAACCACTCATTGGTCTGTTGTTCCATGCCTGTCCACAGCTCCTGCGTGGTGTGGGTTTTTTCCCCAAACATATCAGTTTTAAAACATCTTGCTGTCGTTTCCCCCTGGCTGTGCTGAAGTTGGTGGTGTAGTTGTTACGCTGTCCAGATGAGGTGGTGGTAGAGGAGGAGGAAGCGGAGTAGGAGGAGGAGGCGACAGGAGGCAAAGAGAAATGCCCTGCAATCCTCAGTGGCGGAAGGACATGCGCCAAACTGCTATCCACATCAGGCCCAGCCGCCACTACATTTGCCCAGTGTGCAGTTAGGGAGATATAGCATCCCTGCCCGTGCTTACTGGCCCACATATCTGTGGTTATGTGGACCTTGCCTCTAATGGAGTTGCGCAATGCACACCTGATTTTGTCCGCCAGTTGGTTTTGCA